AAGTGTGTGTCTGGTTATTTCAAAGAATAAACAGGAGTCAGGTGATGGTAATAACATCTTAAGGCATGTAAGTAGTATCTTAGATGACCAAGAATAATCCTGTGGGCCCCAAGAACATATTACAACATGGACTATGCCAGCAGAAATCTCACCCATCAGACAACAGCAAATGACGCTCTGGCTCAAATGTTAAATGTCCTCTTGGTGTGTGGAAAGCACATGACCAGCAGGAAGGAAAACGTCAGGAGACAAAGGCTTTGCTACATATATGTGGGCTTCAGTCTCCAGTGAGACACTCAGAGCCTACATCTCCTCTATTACCACTGCTGCTTTATTGTACAGCATACATTTCCATGAATGTTTCATTCATTTTTGAACTCTGTATTTCATTGTTCTCTCAGTCTAGTTATGAATCATCACACTTTCAATTTCCAAGTATTTACAATACATGAAATGAAAAGTTATTTTTATATTCAGATCTTCATGGATGTTTTTCTTTATTCTTCCTTGTGATACATTTTCTTATCTCCAGAGCATAATCAGATAGTGACTATATTGGAGTAAAGCTCAATTTATCAGTTGATTAAAGAATCATTGATCTCTTTATACTGTTAAAAATACTTTTCTAAAATTGTGGTTTCATTTTTTTTTATACAAATCCATTTCATATTTTATAAGTATTTACAGCAATTTGATTTGGTTAAATTTTTAAAATATACTATGCTGCAGAATCCTGACAGTGTCTTTTTACATCTATGATCATGAACACATGGCATTCTCATGAACTCTATGAATGTGGCTAATAATATCAGTGGATTTCCTAATGCTGAATCTCACTTGCACTCCTGCCATAACGGATGTCTGGTCATGCTTATAATATACCAATATGCTGATACAATGGCTTCTAACATTTATAACTTTCGCTTTTATATCCTTATGTCCTATTTGTAGTAGTCTGTGTGCCTCAATCCAGTTAATGATCTTATATCCCCTCACATACTCTTCCAAAATTTTGGGGGTATAACTCTTATACCTGCTTTATAACTCTTACACAGTTTAAGTGACACTTGTTTACTGAACTTTTTTTGGTGGGGGGATGGAGTCTCGCTCTCTACCCCAGGTTGGAGTGCAATGGCATGATCTCGGCTCACTGCAACCTCTGCATCCCAAGTTGAAGCTATTCTCCTGCCTCAGTCTCCCAAGTAGTTGGGATTACAGGTGCAAAGCCACTACACCTGGCCAATTTTTGTATTTTTAGTAGATACAGGATTTCACCATGTTGACCAGGCTGGTCTCGAACTCCTGACCTCAAGTGATCTGCCTGCCTTGGCCTCCCGAAGTGCTGGGACTACAGGCATGAGCCACTGTGCCCAGCCTACTGAATTTGCAGATACTGAACTGGCTTGCGCATAAGAGCTCTCTTTTGATAGATATCTTGTTATTTCTATTATTTCCCATTCACATTACCCTGTTGAGATAGAGATTTTAAACTGAGCTTGAGAACCACCCAACTGGTACTGGGTTCATAATATTGTTAATTACAATAAAAGTAGGTATTCTTTCAGAAAATCAAGGTGGGAAAGCTAAAAAAGAAAAAGGAAAAACACACCTACAAGAAAACAAAACAAAACTTATACACTGACCTTCTCCATCCATTAGTGGCATAAACACAGAAAGATAACCAAATGGACCAAATAAGGGAGCCAGATAACTGTGACCAAATTACATCAACACATTTTTTCTGTGAAACACACCAAAGGCACCCAAGTTGAGAAACCTGGATATTCAAGTACAAAGGACTGAAGTAAGACCCTTATGTTACACAAAACACAAATATCAACACAAAATAGACTGAACACCTAAGTCTAATCCTGAAACTAAAAAAGCTCCCAAGGAAAAAACAACAACAACATAGAGTGAGTGTCTATTTTGGGGAAACTTGAATCTGTGCACACCAGCTGCAAAAAGAAAAAATTAGGGAGAATATACCCATAAACAATGCAATGGTTTTACCATCTCCATTTTTTTTATTTCCCAATGGGACACAGAAATAACTGCTAACAAAAGCAACATAAATATGTTAGACAAAGGACAACTTTAAAATTTTGAAACAAGGAGAAAACAATGAACCCAAAGAAAAGGCATCTCATAGATTAGGATAAAATCATGGAAAGTCAAGTACCTGAGAGGAACTGTTACCTAACATAAGTAAATTAAAGATACTGCCGGGCGCGGTGGCTCACACCTGTAATCCCAGCACTTTGGGAGGCCGAGGCAGGCGGATCACAAGGTCAGGAGATCGAGACCACGTTGAAACCCCGTCTCTACTAAAAATACAAAAAATTCGCCAGGCGCGGTGGCAGGCGCCTGTAGTCCCAGCTACTCAGGAGGCTGAGGCAGTGAGAATGGCGCGCGACCCCGGGAGGCGGAGCTACAGAGCCGAGATCCTGCCACTGCACTCCAGCCTGGGCGACAGAGAGAGACTCTGTCTCAAAAAAACTAGGTGAGTAAAAAGACAAAACAACTAAAACCTATATTTATCCAAACAATATGCTACTGGCATAAAATAGAAAAGGAAACCCAATGAACAGAATGAGGGAGTTCTGTATGCCATCCAAATGTACAAACAGCAAATATGTTTTTCAAAAAGTGACACAAAAGTCACAATGGGAAAAGAAGTCTTGTTCAACAAACGATTTTGAGAAAACTGATAGCCACATGAAAGTATAACAGAGAAATGGGACAAAAATCAATGTAAATTACATTGAAGACCTAAACTCATTCTTGAAACCACTTACTTCCCTTAGGAAACATAGGGTGAATGTGTATTTTAGAAGACTAATCAATGCACACAAGTTGCAAAATGTAAAATATAAAAATAGAAAGAAAACAAAAATTAGAAGAAAAAACCCATAGACAATGCAATAGCTTGGCAATCTTTTTCACTGTTTTTAATACACACAAAAAGTCACTACTAATATATACATATGTGGACTACAAAAACATTGATCTTATGAGGGAAAAGAAAACAATAAACCAGAATAGAAGGCACCTCAGAGACTGGAAGAAAACTATGGAAAATCCTGTCTTTGAAAGGGGTTATTATAAAATATGTGCAGGAAACTAAGACCACCATGTGGGGGAAAAACAAATACAGAAACAAAAACAAATGTCGAAGATAAATCTGGGCAAAGGACCTGAAAAGACATGTCTGAAAAGTAGATGTGAAACTGACTCAGATAAAAGAAAAGTTTCTCAAAAGCTCTAATCCTCACAAGAATGTCAAGGAAAACCACACTGAGATACCACTCCCATCCACATAGAATGAATGTTACCTAAAACAAAAATAAAGTTTGAGAAGGGAAACAACTGGTATACACTTGCAGAAGGGGAAACTCTTCTCATACACTATTGGTGTGAATGTCAACTTGTACACACACTAGGAAAAACAGCTGGAAGTTCCTCAAACAAGGTAAAAACACCATTTCATCTAGCCATCCCACCATGGGCTGTACATGCACAGCCAATGAAACTCCTATGTGAAGAGATACCTGCCTTGCTCCCGTGTACTGTAGTACTCACAACAGCTAAAGATAGGAAATACTCCTACCTGTTCATCCATTGATGAAGGGATGAGGAAACTGCAGTATACATCCAGAACAGAATATTCTTCAACCATAGAAATGCAGCCATGTGCAAAAACCTGGGGGACGTTATCTTAAATAAAATGAGCCAGACAGAGAAAAAGGTATATACTGCATAATCTCATGCATGTGGAATCTAAAACACTGACCTAGAATTACAAAGTTCAACAGTGGTTACCAGAGGCTGGGAGAAAAGGGGGCCTAGGCAGGAATTGCAATGGGTATGAGGTTACACTTAGAAAACTGAGATCAACCCTGCCCTTCTCTTCTGTAGCAGAGTGACTAGGGTTAATATTGTAGCAAATTTTCAAATAGCTGAAAGACTTGAATATCCTCTCCACAGACAAATAATACCTAGAGGACTTATAGATGCAATATTATGATTTGATCAATATGCTAGGTGTACCTATATCAAATGGTCCCTGCATCTCTAGTTATATACGTATACTCTAGGGCAATTCTTTGCAAAAGTCAACGATGCTAAAATTCACATGGAACCATGAAACACCCTGAATTTCTAAAGCAATCCTGAAAATACAAAGTACATGGGATAAATCACTGCCATCTATTTGAAATTATATTAAAAAGCTAGTTATCTAAACAATAGATGACTTGGGCATTAAACCAAGAAACCAAACCAACAGACAGAACGAGGGAGCTCAAATCACAAACCCAAATTTTGTGGTAGAGTAAACATTTTGTAAAAGAACACCAAAGACAGAACGAAGAAGGAGAATTCACTAATTAATTGCTTGAAAATTGATACTTTGCAAAATAAAAATAGGGCCCCTATTGTGTAACAGGCGCAACAATCAACTCAAAATGAATTAGAGACTCATACACAAAACTTGAAAGCATCAAGTACCTCCAATGGAAAGACAAACAATGTGGGTATATTTAGGTCAACGTGGATCTGTGTTCACAGTGTGCCAAAACCAAACAAAAAATACAGGGGGAAACTCATGGGTGATGGATTAGTTTGGTTACACTTTGATTTTCTATCCGTCACCTACATCAGCAGGAAACCAGAAAACAGACATGTAGGACTGCATCACACTCTAGAGTTTGTGCCCAAGCATATTTAAAAAAATCCATGAAGAAAATAAAAAATCATCCTGAGGTTTACAAGAAAGGATTCAGCAAACATACATCTGATAAAAGGTTGTTTCAAAATGCCTAAGCAACTAACACCACTTACTAGCAAAAACACAAAAATTAACCTACAACTACCACTTCATCTAACAATTCTACTACTAAGGATACTTTCAGGTGCAGAAATCAGTCATGTAAGAGATATCACACCGTGATGTGGACTGCATCACTAATTGCAATTGCCAAGATAAAGAATAAACTTACCTGCCCATCCACAGGTGAAGGGATAAAGTAACTGTGGTGGATAATGTAAATAGTCTTCAGCCAGTAAAGAAGAATGAAATTTCAACATTTGAGCCATACTTGAACCTGCAGACATCATGGCAAATGACCTAAACCAGGCAGAGAAAGAAAACATTGCCACATCTCACTCATGTAGATCCAAAAATAAAAGGCTTTATTGCATAGATCTAGAGGGCAATGGCCAATAGTGGTTACCAGAGGTTGAGAAGAGGGGGCATGGGAAGGGATCAGAAATAGGTAAAAAGTTACACTTAGATGAGAGGAATAAATTGTTCATCTCTGTTCCACAGCACAGTGACTAGAGATTAACACAACATCATACCTTTTTCACAAAATCCGAAAAAGAAGATTCCAAACGTTTTCACCACAAAGAAATTAACAACTGTTTGTGATAACAGAAACTCTTGTAAATGCAAGATTTCAAATGTTTCACCACAAAGAAATTAACAACTGTTTGTGATAATACTCTAAATATCCTTGATTTACTATTCCTCTGTGTCTGTATTAACCAAAATGCCACGATCTAATTCCCACATTGTATACCTTACTATGTATGGCCAAACTTTTAAAAAATATGTAACACACAATGCTAAAATTCATGTGGACTACAAAACAGCTCTGAATTTCCAAAGCAATTCTGAGAAATCCAAACGACATTGGCTGTAATACATTTCCCAATTTTAAATTTCATTGAAAATAGGGACCCTTCCACAAGAGCAGTGGAACAGATTAGAGGATCCAGACGTGAACCCTAACACGCCTAACAATTATCTGATCTTCAATAAAATCCACAAAATAAGCTTTGGAGAATGTACTTCCTCCTCTCAATAGATGGTGCTGGGATAAATGGCTAGCCAGTTGCAGAAGAAAAACAGTGGGGCCCTGTGTCTCACTGTGTACAGAAATTAACTCAAGTAAATGAAATATGTAAATGCTAGACCTCAAACTATGAAAAGCCTGCAAGGGAACTCCAGGAAGTAATCTCTTCTTGACAGAGGATTTGGCAGAGCATGAATAAGTTTGGTCCCCAAAAGCAAGTGTAATTCAAACAATTATTGGACAAGTGAGCTCTAATATACAAAAGAGTGGTTGCACAACAGAAGAGATTAATAACAGAGTAAATAGTGATGTTTACATAATGGGAGAAAATGTTCCTACGTATGCATCTGATGAAGTCTAATATCCGGATCTACCTCAAAAACATGTTAAGCAAATAAATCAGCAAAACAAAAACTCAATGAAGAAAGTGCAAGAGGCATGAAAACACACATCTCAAAAGAAGGTTTACAGCAACCAACAGACAGGATAACATTTTTCTAACTTAGTAATCATCAGAGAAATACAAGCAAAAAGGCTCCAAGAGATAGTATTTCACACCAGTCAGAATGGCAGCCATGAGACACAGTCCATAAAGAATGACTGCCAGTGAGAGGAGAGAGAATGCTGGTCTGCTGTTGGTGGAAATGCAAACTACTTGGACACCAAGTGGAAAGCAATGGGATTTTCAAATAACTTTCTTGACATCACTAATACAAAATGCCTAAGAAAAACCCACTAAGATTCTGCCTCATTCCATCAGAATGACGACACCAAAAACAAACAAACACAAATTTTGAAGGTGACAGCCAGTGTACACTTACAGAAGGGTAACCTCTTAAACACAATTGGTGGGGATGTAAATTAGTATACACACTATGAGAAACAGCTAGAGGTTCCTGAAAAAATTCACAGCACAACTACCATGTCAGCAAGCAGCCCCCACCACTGGTTCCACATTTGAAGCAGCTGAAATTCCTAGGTTGAAGAGAGCTATCTGCCTTCCATGGGTACCAAAGCTCGAACTGTGACCAAGGTACAAAACGAACCTATCTTCCACTATGCGGCTGCTGAATAAGAAACTGCCATATAGATACACTACAGAATATGTTTCAGCCACAAAGCTTTTGGGGAAATCCTGCCATCAGCAGCCACATGAAGAAATCTGGAGAACATCAGATCCAATGAATGAGCCTGATAGAGAAAGTTCCATGCCACGTGATCTCAGGCACGTATACTGAAAAAAGCTTTATCTCCTAGAAGTAGAAAGTTCAATAGGATGACCAGAGGCTGCTGGGGAGGTGGAGGTCTGGGGAGGAATCAGTAATGGGTGGCCAAAGTTACTCTCCGATGAGAGTAATCAATTCTGGTCTTCTATTCCATAGCAAGATGACTAGCCTTAACACAAACGTATCATATATTTCAAAGTAGCTAGAAGAAAAGATTCTGAATGTTGTCACCACTCAAAAAATAATAACTTTATGAGGTGAAGAGATGTAAATAACCTGATTTATCATTACTCAACATATACATGTATCAAAATCTTCCTGGTACCCTCTAGTTATATACATTCAGCATATGGCAGATAGTAAGGCTAACATCACACACCAGTGCCTATTGTGGGGAAGCGGGAGGATAAGGAGATATATTTAATGTAAATGACAAGCACGGGTGCAGCATATCAACATGGCACATGTATACATATGTAACAAACCTGCACGTTGTGCACATGTACCCTAGAACTTAAAGTATAATAATAAAACAAAAAGAAATATTTTAAAAATGCCAAAATTTACGTGGAAATGTGAAACACCAAGAATTTCCAAAGCTATCCATGAGAAATACAAACCATATGGGATGCAAATTACATTCCTGAGTTCTAATTAAGTGAAAATCCCTAGTTAAATCAATTCCTCATGTAATCATATACACGGAGAAACAGACCAGTGAGCAAAATGAGGGCGCTCAATAATAAACACAAATTTCTAAAGAGTGAACACATTTTTCAAAACACCACCAAAATGACACAAAGGGGAAGGGTTCCAAAACTAGATATTCATTTTCAAAATAATAATACTGGACTCTTATGGTACTAAATACACAATAATCAACTCAAAAGAATTAAAGATTATACACAAAACTTGGGTAACCATAAAGTTCCTATGAAGACAAATTCCAGGTGTGTGTATATTTAGGGCAACTTGGATGTATGCTCATGGTTTACAAAAAGTAACAAAAATACAAGGGAAAAATCATTGACAGGGACAGTTTGTAGTGGGATTAGTGTTTTTCCTTGATTAGTGTCCAACAGCATAGCTAACCAAGAAATTGTACATGTGGACCACACCAAACGGAAAGTTTTTGCCCAACAAAGTGAAACAAATGGACACAATGAAAAAGCATACTGAAAAATACAAGAGACGTAGTTTGGGCAAACATATCTTGATGAGGGGTTATTTTTGAAAACGTAAGTCAGTAATACTACCATTGGCACAAAACAAACAAACAAACATAAAAATAACCAGACCAAAATTGGGCAAATAACTGAGAAGATATTTAAATAAAGAAGACAGGAAACTGACCTAACATTTACAAAAATGTGTTAACATTCCTACTCATGATAAAAATGTAGACCAAACCACACTCAGATCTTATCTCACTCCAACTAGAAGGAACATTACAAAAATATTAAAAATATTTAAAAAGACAATTCCTGTATCAATTTCCAGAAAGGGGAACCGTTTGTGTGGAAATGTAAATTAGTACTAACACTATAAAAAAAAAGTTGGGGGCCCTGCAAAGAATAGAAAAAAAAAAAAGAAATTCCATACCATCTAGCATTCCCACTACTGGGTATACGTTCAACCTACCTGACCATCCACAGATAAAGGGATCAAGAAACTCTTGTATACATACATGAGGGAATATTCTTGGCCATCAAAATAATGAAACAGTGTCATTTAGAGCACTCCAGACAAACCTGGAAAACATTATGTTAAATGTAATGAGCTAGGCCTAGAAAGACAAACACTGCATGATACCGCTCGTGAAATCTTAAGATGTTTATCTTCAAGTAGAAAGTAATATTGGTTACCAGAGTCTTGGAGATGAGGGGAATGTGGGAAAGGATTGTTATGGAAACAGTTATCTTAACATTAAAGGAATACATCTGCGTTTCTCCTCTCAGCCTGGTGACTGGTGTTAATAATACTATATTTTCTAAAAGCAAGAAGGAGAATTTTGAGGTTCTCTCCACACACACACAAAACACCTGCATGAGGGAAGAGATCCTAAGTACCTGATTTGATCAATACCCAACCTATCTGTATGAAACTGTACTCCTTAACTCATGGACCTTCATGTTGTAAAAAACAGTTAACAGAATAAATATATATTGCAAAAAATCACAGGAACCACAAGAGTAATGAATATCTAAAGGAATTCTGAGAAATACACCAAAGTGAGACCCACAATCATCGATACCAAATTAACTACTGCCAGAGTCGTAGCTACGCAGCAGATATATGTTACTTGTATAAAAATCAAATACCTAGAACTGTGGACAAAAACAGGGAGGAGAAAAACACGATCAACACAAATATGGACATAGTCAACTGACTTTGATAAAGAACACCACAATGTGGAAGGCAGAGTCTGCTCAATGAATACTCTTAAGAAAAATGATATCCAGATGCAGAAGTAAGAATAGGACTTTATTTTACACAATGTATGAAAATCAATCCCCTTCAAATTGGAAAGCCAAACAAAGACTCCATAAGCCACAAAATGTTTTTAACTACAACACAGGTTGAGCATATATTTTGGGTCACTTGAATCTTTGCTCACCTTGCAAAGAGGAAAAGAAACAAACACCCTGAAGAAAACCCTACTGACAATGAACTGCTTTGTCATTGATATATAATTCTTATATGGGTGACTAAAATTATACGCATGGAACGCAAAAAATAAACATCGGACTACATCAATCTGAAAAGTTTCTGCACAGCAAAGCAAACTACTTTCCACAGAGAAAAGCATCCTATAGATTAGGCAAACATTTCAGGCAATCATGTAATCTACGAGGAGTTGTCGTCTTCAACGTGTACACAAAAACACTAAAAGATAGCAAAACACTACAATCTAATATTTCTCAAAGAACCTGAACAGACAATTCTGCAAAGACATAAAATCAAACAACA